AAAATAAAAATAATAAATAAATAAACATAAATTTTTCAAATTTCAAATGATAAATATGAGGTTCTCACTTGCATCACAGGAATCTCCAGGACTTCTTCTCCGGCCAGCTCTTCAGACAGGACCTCCGAGCTGGAACCAGAAAAAGAGAGATGAGAGAACAATAAAACACATACAGGGATGCCACTGGGGTTTCATTTTTAATAACTGACAATTTACGAAGCCGCATTAGCAAACAAAAAGACAGCCAGTTGCATGTGATCTATCAATATGTTGTCTAAATTCAAATTCTACATGTTCGCGAAAAAAGTCTACTACGCTATGTTGGTAAAATTGCAAAAAGATGAAACAGTTTTTTTTCCTCTTCCCCGTGAAAAACTTTGCTTCCCAGACTTAAAACAATTGAAAGCTTGCTGACGAGAAACACAAAAGAGCCGTCGACAGAGGAGTGAGGAAACTGTTAACTCACGCAATGATGATGTCCTTGGCCTCCACATTAGACAGACTGGAGCCACTCAGGAAAAACTTGAGGATTTTCCCTCTGTAGGCCTCAAACACTCGTATCTGTGCAGAACAAGATCAAGCACATAGATCTACATTATCAACATCAAAAAGACACTTACATCTGAAAAATCCCAACAAAAACAAAAGTAAAAGTACAAAAACCAGAATAATTATTTGGATACCCCCCCCCCCCCAAAAAAAAAACAACAACAACAAACAAACAAACAAAAAAAACAACACAAAACAAACTCGCTAAAAAAAACTTTAAAAAAACTGGGATACCAATAAAGAAAAGCAAATTGAAGCCAATAATAACATATTAGGTAATTACAGCATATTTAAAACAGTAACAATTGATATGGGATCACATAGTATCTAACTTTAAAAATCAGCTACGATTGAATCTAGGACCTAACATTAAGGCTGACAGCCCCTGAGATCATAAAAGAAGCGCATGCAAAAGTGACACAGGCCCCCCCCCTACCCGACTGTAGATAAGTATTACTTCAGTGGAATGAAAAGACCCAAACAATCCAACCCAAAAACTCACATCGCGTTTCCTGACATTTGTCTTCTGTGCGAGCTCCTCAATCAGTTTCTCCACCGTGCTGTCCTGAGACACCACAATCTGGTACTGAAACACAGCATGAGAACATATTGTTTTAGTTTTAGTTAAGGTTTTACAGCGCTCACAACTGCATAACGTCATGAGCATAATATTTGGAATTTGAGCATATATGGAGGACTGAAAAATCAGACCGAATAAAATAAATGAATAAATAAATAATTACCACTTTTATTTACCATTTACGAGAGCATACATTTGTCTGCAAGAGTGGACCTGCATCTATTGATAGCTCGAGAGAGAGAGAGAGAGAGAGGGAGAGAGAGGGAGGGAGGAAGGGAGGGGGAGAGTGAATGTTGAGGAAAGTGCTTGCGTGTATGTATTTACCACGCCGCAGCAAATTTCTTTGTGTCGATATCAAGAAATTGTTATTTTATCTTATCTCATCTTATCTTAGTAACAGCAACTGACCCTGACAGGCTTCTTGTAGGACTCCTTCCACATAAATGTGACGGGGATGACCTTCTTCTTCTTGGGCAGCGGCACAGACAGGTACAGGAACGGGTCAAACGTGATGGACACCTGGAACGTACAACAAGATGGAACAATGTTCATACTGAGCGTCAAGACCAGTGCTTGCCAACCTGGGCCATTTGGTAATTTTGGTGGGCGTTGAAGGTAATAATAATCGATATAATATATCATATTTTGTGAAAGTTCGTCACTCTGGTCCCCTAAAACTTCCGAACAACTTAACTTTTGAATTTGAAAAAATTAGAGGTGGTTCAGAATCATTTAAAGGATGCAGTTATATTAAGGAGTCTGAAGTCACTGTAGTTTAATTTTCAGTTTTTCATTAGTTTCATTTAGATCTAATCTTGGAAAAGTCCATCTTCTAAGACGCCATTGTAAACAGGTGAGACTTCTGTTCTTATGCAGTGCGCACTAATCCCACCAAGATTTGACGATCGATTCATTTGAGTCCGTTCATCAAACATGGTACCCAGCTAGTATATAATAAATAACATTTGCATAGCGCAAACCAGCTCGACAGCAAGCTCTATGCACTTTACAATCTACATTATCACCCCTACAGACCCAATAGCATTTGAAATTATGTCAACTTCCTTGAAAGCATACAGTGCAAGCTGCCAATTTCCTGGAGCTAAAACACAAACACAAGAACAAGATCTTTTGCTGTCTATGGCCAGTTACCCATTCCCACTTGGGTAAAGAGAGGAAAATTAATGAAAAGTGCGCGTCCAAAGGACACAACGTCGGGTCTGAGCCCCGAACCTCCGAACCCCCAACCTCATGATTATCAGTCTGGTAGCCTAACAAGTATTATTTAAAACCCCGCTTGGAAATATATGTAGGTGGGCTGGACAAAAGTGCAAAAGTGGGTGCTGGCTATAAATAGGTTGCCAAGCACTGGTCTCCATGGTTGCAATAATTAGATAACTACTACTACTACTCTCTAAACAAAACTTGTGCAAATCCTTACAAAAGAAAAAGAAAGAAACAAAAAGCAAAAGAGCAAAACAACCACAACCACAAAACTACGAGGGCAGTATTGTATACAGACCTAAGTCATTTTTTTTGTGACCTTTGAGATACGTCTGTATGCAACACAGCCACACAACTTGGCCCTAGGGTACAACTAGGGCCTACGACACAACTGGGACCTACGACACAACTTGCAACTAGGCCCTACGGTCACTTACTTTCCCACAGACAGGGCAGACCAGCTTGGACTTGTACTGTCCCTGGAACAGATCCACCACCACGCTGTCGTTACGACTCTTGTACTGGGCCCACGCCTCCGCCGCCACAACCTGAACGAAAAACAAATCATCGCCGTCATTGTCATTATCCTTCACCATCATCATTATCCCTTATCTCTGTCATTATCATTATCTTTCATCATTATCATTATCATTATCCTTCATCGTCGTCATTATGACTATCCTTCACCGTCGCCGTTATCATTATCCTCCATCATCGTCATTATCCTCCATCTCTGTCATTTATTCTTTGTCATTGTCATCATCCTTCATTACATCTGTTGTCATTATCTCTCCTCCTCCTTTTCTCTGTATGTTACTCTCTTGTAACACCTCTAATCTTTGGCACTTATATGACCTATTTTATTTTTATCGCAACAACAACCGTAAGCCCTTAAGTAACCCCCACAGCTCGTATTGACTAAGTTCTACCACTGTACCTCATCAGGCCTTCCGTTTGAGTCCGTCGTTTCTATATACGGTTTTTTCCTAATTCTGTTCAAATCCTGTGAAAAAGCAGAAACAGAAACAATTTTACACATTGTGCAGCAAACAAATAAAATTTCGACTAAAATTATTCGACCGTGGCCAAATCTTGATAAAACAGCAAAACAAACCCTAAAACTCAGCACTCAAGAAGCAAATACACTTATTATCACCTAAAAAGGCACAAACTAAATTGACATGATTTTTAAAAAGAAAAAAGCATCAGAAACAGAGCAGCTATGTTCATATTACTACTACTACTACTACTAATAATAATATTAATATAATAAAATTTCCCTTATATATCACTCAATTGCACTGAAAAAATACTTAATGCACTTAACAAACAGTAGCTTGTACACTTGAAAAAAAAAAGTCTTCTGGTGCATATTGCCATTCCGCGAGTTTCCCAAAAACCATGTAAATCCAGACATTTTTCCCTAAAGGACAGAACACAGGTCCCTTACCTCGTGTAAACCGTCCAGCAGAAACGCCAAGAACTCGTGAGCGTCGTGCTGAGCGTAGCCAAAAAACTGAGGGTTCTTCTTTGAGATCAGATCCTGTAGACACAGAGAAATTGGGGAAAATTAAACGAGGGAGATTTAAAACAATCTACAAAAGCAGGAAAAGACAAAAAATTTATTCGTTGTGAAGACAAACCTGAGGCCAGTACTGCTGTGGAGAGGATGATGGTTTTGGGAATACAAAAAGGAAGTGGAAAATCTGGCATCCTCGCAGGAACGAACAGAAGAGCGTTCAACCAGATATGGACTGGCACAATCAGTAGAAAGACCCTCAGCGACATTATGGAGAGAGCAACGGAGCATCAATGGACGTGTCCAGAATACAGGAATGTTGCTTCCTGAAACAATGAGCAGACTAGAGATGGGAGCAGAGTTAGCCTGATTCCCCGTTTAGACTTCTCTGTTGACATCCACCCCTTAGCACTCATATGACCTTATGCAGTTGCAAGCGCTGAAAAACTTACTAAACAAAATCAAACAAACCAGAGAGGCAAGCACATCATCTCTAGGTGAACTAGGTTACCTTCCCCCACAGTTGGAGCTGGGGTTCAAGAGAAACCTGTCGATGCAATAACTTTAGTGCTTGGAAAAAAGCAAGGCAGGCAGAAATGTCTTTTAGTTTTGGTAAGGTTTTACGTGCTCGTAAGCAACTCCCCCAAAAATTGACAACTGTTTTATGACCTTGCCAGCATGGCACAGCAGTCAAGCTTTTAGAAAACTCAAGACAAAAACACAGAGAGGCCAGGAAAGTGGCGACTGACCTTCAACTTGCGTGGCTCCCAGCAGTACTTGAGGCACGACCACAGACGTTTCAGTAACAGGCCAAAGGTCGCGGCCAGCTGACCCTTCATGCCCAGGGGGTTGTCCTCGTTGATCTCATGCTGGAACCTGTCGTCTGGGAGAGGGAAACAAACATGGCCGTCATTTATACAACATAAGCTGTTGTTGCAAACATGATATCACAACCTCAGTGCTTTCTTGTCATGTCTCCATTTTAAAAAAAAAGTGAAAATGTGATTTCTTCTTAAGCTCACTATTTGTTACAAACTGCTTTCACTGTTATCGAAAAAGGAGATACGACAAGAAAGCACTGAGGTCACCCGATATGTAGGAAGACATTTTACACTTTGTTTTCAGTCTAGTTATAGTCAAGAGTTTCACTGCATAGGTCATAAAAGAGCTGAAGATTAGAGGTGTTACAAGACAGTAACATACACATAGAAAAGGAGGAGGTGAGATAAAGACGACAGTTATTTCATAGGAAAGAAGGAGCAACCCACACCAAACGTACCCAAGAAATAGTCGCGAAACTCCCTGGTGTTGACCATAACCTGCAGCACACAGTTCATGAAGCACGTGTTGCCTAGATTGACCAGCCCCGCGTAACCAGGGGAGATGACAATGGCTGACTCCGCCCCTTGTTTGTTCAGAGGATGTACCTTGGCCGTCGGCTTCTGGGGAGGAACAGAAACAAAACAGTCATCACACACGTACACACACACACAGTCATCACACACGTACACACACACACAAACACACACACAAACACACACCTGGGCCGTCGGCTTCTGGGGAGGAAGAGAAACATAACAGTCATCACACACGTACACACACACACAAACACACACACACACCTGGGCCGTCGGCTTCTGGGGAGGAAAAGTAACAAAACAGTCACCACACACATACAGACACACACACACACACACACACACACACAGACACACACACACACACAGAACAACGAATCTAATTTTTCAAACAATCCATATTTTGCAAGCAAGATGGACAGTAAAGAAATGTTTGAGGGTCTAGAGAAAAAATTGAGGGCAAAGCTCTGCTAAAAAATTTAGTTCCATCATAAAACAAACTTTAAACCATACCTAAATAACATATTGAAAGGATTTTACAATATTCTAAGTCTAAATATCTTTATTGGCTATTTTTGCAACACGTACTTCACAAAAGGTAAAAAATGTGCTGGAAATTGGGGTTTTCTTCAAAATTTGTTTTTACACCCTGTGTTAAAAAAGTAGGTGTATCTTAAAGAGTCGCGGTACTCAAAAGTTTTGAAAAACTTTTAAATCAGCGTTTTCAGCATTCAACACGCTACAAGAATATATGCCCTTATTTCAATTTGCAAAATTTCTGTCAACTCAGACCTTTCTAAAGGCATGTACACATAACATATTCATAATGGCTTAATCTAGCTTGCGACTTTGACATGTTTGCCCATGCTGGTGGCAGATGAGAGCAACCCTCTCTACTACGACTCACATTCCAGTCCTGTGACACCCCTGTGGGCCTGGTCTTAAGGTTGGAACCAAAGACGGAGGAGATACTGTCTGCGTCTGGTTCCATCCTCTGAGAATTGATGGAAGAAGAGCTTCCTTTGTACTTGCCTGGAACATAGAAGAAAGTATATTTCATTGCTTTAGTAAGGTTTTATGGCGCTCGCAACTGCAAAAGGTCATATGAGCGCCAAGGGGTAGATGTCATAAGAGAAGTCCAAACGGGGAATCAGGCTTACTCTGCTCACCTCTTTTAGCCTCAACAGCACAAAGTCTGCTTCGACGATCAAGGCACCCCGGAAATAGCAGTTCACAAGAGAGTGAAAAACATAGAAAAGAAGTAGAGAATAAATGACGATAGTAAAGATGAGGGGGAAAAAGGCAGCAGTTCCCCCATGTTGTTCCAGCCAGTATGAGCATGACATAGATAAATCAGCCCATTTACACTTCCACAGTGCATAAGTACATGTTAATATTCCCTTTTTGGGAATGGCCTGAAGAAAAAATGGCAGATGGCACCATTTGATTTGAGTGAGGATGTGCACTACGTTTCCAAAAAGGTGTTGACCTAAGTCAACATCATGACTTGTGAAAAAGTGAAAATGTCTCAACAATAATTCGCGTTCTTCGTATACGCAACAAAACCCTGCTTTACTGGGGATATGAAGCACGTGTCAGGCATTTTTACCGTATCAATAACTTCTTCCTTGTCCTATGTCAGGTCTGTGCAGACATTGACGATTATGGTTCCTCATTCCTTCCTGTTGTCCCGTATTCCTGATCAGCTTGGTTTTTGTCATTGTGTTATTTGTTGCAAAGTTGTTTAGGACATCTGTATATTTTCTTCTCTGTCTTCCTCTGCTCTTCCTTCCCTCTATTTTACCACACCAATAACTACCTGAACACCTGGAGGTGCCATCTATTCTTCAGAGGTTGACGTGAAATGACCCTCCATCTTTCACGATCGCGAGTTGCCGTGACACATTCTGCCATATCCAATAACTAGACACCTGGAAAAAAATTACCTCGAGATCGTATGAGGACTGCAGCTATATCTCTGTGAGCTACCCACCTCTGTTACTCTTCAAGTCAATGTCCTCCATATCGTCAAACATGACGCTCCTGGACGGCCCGTTTTCTGCCTGACTGCCCGCAGCGACACCGGCAGAAGATGTTGATGACGCCGGGGGTTCTGAGGGGGAGTCGGGGGTGGGGGGTCCGGTGCTGCGTGTGAGAGGCACCCATGAATCGTTGTTTCTTGGGGGCTCGGTGGGTTCTGTGGAGGAACAGAAGAGTGCTTTGTCTGATTTGTTTTAGTAAGGTTTTACGGCACTTGCAACTGCATAAGGTCATATGAGCGCCAAGGGGTGGATGTCAACAGAGAATAAGTCCAAACAGGGAATCAGGCTTACTCTGCTCACCTCTCAAGCTTCAACAACACAAAGTCTACTTCGACTATTAAGGCACCCCGGAAATAGCAGTTCACAAGAGTGTGACAAACATACAAAAAGTAGTAGAGGAAAAATGATGATAGTAAGGATGAGGAAAAAAAAAGCGCAGTTCCCCCATGTTGTTTCAGTACAGTATGAGAATGACATTGATAAATCAGCTCATTTACAATTCTTCTGTGCACAAGAACATGTTAATATCCCTCCTTTGGGAATGGCCTAAAGACACTTCAGACAGTAGCACTGCCCTGAGGGGGAGTTTTGCCTGAGGAAAGCAGGGATGCTGCAGGGAGTTTATGAAAGTGACTGAAAACTTGCAAAGTTGTATTTGCAAACAAAAAGACTCTTTAACTTTTACAACACTCAAATATTTTTACCCCTCACTCTACCCCCTCCAGCCCAGCTAATATTGAAGTCTGTGACTGCTAAGGCCCAGCCAGTACTGATTTGTGTCTGCAATTTTTTCAAGTCAAAAAAAATATTTCAATATTACTTTAGTTTGATGTTTTAGAAGATAATTACATTGCATATTTTTCACAGACAGCTCGATATATTACAATACAAATACGTGACTGGGGATGTGAGGGTTACAAGATGTAACTAAAATGAGGTTTAAACAGAAAACAAATGTGAGAATAATAACTGCTATTCTTCTAACCTTCTTTCAGTGAAAATAATGGAAATAATGGGGAAAAAAAGCGGAAAAATGGCATCCCTGGCAAAGAGAAGCACATTTACGCAATATCAACCATTTCCTGCTGGAATAGAGACAAAACATCAGACAAGCATGTTAAGATATTTTCTTCTTCAGTCTATCTAAACAACAAAATTATCTTTGAACTTGTTGCACACATACCTTTCCTCAAGGGAGCCTCTAAAGATGCCCATCTGACGGCAGAAGTTTTGCGAAGAGTCACCTCCATACCGCTGGCCTTCACCTTGTACTTGCACTCTTCCGGAACAATCTCTTGTCTGGACACAGAGGAAACACCACACTCACATCATTAGTAAAAAAAACAGGAGATACATTTTTTTCAGAAAATCAAAGAAAACAAAAAAAAAGAAAAACTTTAACTCATTGATATAACATTGGTATAGCAGGTAGCCCTCCCAACAGCAGACTCTAAGTGCACTTCACATTTCATCACCATCTATACAAACACTTTAACATTCTCATACATTCTCAGCCTCTTTGTAAGCCTTCAGAACAATCTGCCTTCTTCTTCTTCTTCTCGATCACATCACACTTGAAGTCTGGTATCTGTCATAAATTGGGCTATCCTGAGATATCTGCCATTTTCCAGGTTCTCAAACACAAATGTACAGCATAGAGACGTCTGTTACCATCTTTCCCCACGGGCACTCTTTCTCACCTCGTCTCGTCAGGAAAATTTGGGGAAACATAATTCCCAAGAGCACAACTTACTTTACTTTTTACGTTTTCATCCTGTTACCGTTAAGTGTCGAGGGGAGATGAAGTTTTCTAAGGTAGGCCAACTCCACAGCTCTTTCAGTTGTGATATTATGTTTTCTCAGGGTTTCCTTGACACCCTTAATGAATCTTTTGCGTGGCCTTTATAGCCCGAGTGCTTGGTGTTGCAGGCTCTCGAGGCTGGCTGGCCAGGAGACATACGTAACAGGTGGCCAAACCATTTTATTCTGTCTTTCTATGTAATGCAGGCAGGACCCAATGCCGATAGCTGCTCTTACTTCTTCATTTCTCTGCCTGTCTCGTCTTGAGAAAACCAAGAGACACAACATCCAACCCAAATTAGGACGTCCGGCAACCGAACCACAATACTATAGCTTAGTGTAAGTAAACCCTTTCCTGTTGAAGCCAGCTGTGTTCAACGAGGCCGAGATCAACCGGGCACAATGCTTATTTCTCTTTTGGAATTTTCTCAATGATAGGTTTGCCTCTTCATTCAATAGGTCCCGGGTTCAAATCCTGACAGGGACGGCAAATATTCTTCTCTAAAATATTCTCCTTTCCGGCTCTCTACCCATGTACTGTCGTCTGCTTCCGTCTCCAAGCAGGCCACCGCTGCAGGTGAAGAACGACAACAAGAAGAACTTAACTCGACACTTGTTCCTTTTTCTGTCATTACCTGGTGGTGACTGCCCAGGAGAAAGTGGTCTCTGCAGAGGTTCCCTCGTGGAGCTGTAGGAACTTGGCATCCCTGACCAAAGAGAGAACAGAAAATACATTTCAGCAATATGACAAGAATAATTCCAGTACGGTCACATGACGAGAACAATTGAGCAAAATCTTTACTGCAGTCCCTTGGACACTTGAATCAAAAGAAAGTCCTCGAGCATCTTGCTCTCACTGGAAAAATAGAAAGTAAGAAAGGCAAAAGAGGCATAGGTAGACCAAGAATAACTTAAACAGAGAAACAGAACAGATGGGTGAGGAAGAAACACCAGGACAGTCTCGCTTGTTTTTGGTTTTGTTAAAGTATCCAAGCAATGGGTAAAAAATCATTGTTGTTGATGTCCGTTTCAGATTTGGTACTTGAAGAAAAAGAAGAAGAAAAAAAAAGACGAAGAAGAAGTAGTAAAAAGAAGACAAAAACAAGCGAGACTGAGCACTTACGCGGTATGGAACTTGAGGACAAAGCCTTGTTTGCTGAACACAATCTTCATGGCGTCTTTGTCCAGGCTCTTCACGTACACTTGAAGGCTCAGGACCATATCCTGGGTCCACGTGTGGGGGAATAGCGGCGGCGGGAGGCGGGGCGAATACAGAAACAGAATTATACAATTCATGCATATTGCTATTTTCACAGAAACAAACCACTAAAAAGACGAGTATTTTGAAAGCAGAAGTTTGTCATATATTATGAAGAGGAACTTGCAACAACTGAGATGTTTAAAAAAGACAATTAATAAAGAACCACCAAAACAAATAAGTTTGGTACCAACAAATCTCTTCATAAGAGATAAACATTTAGCGTTATCAAGAGCACAGAAAATAAGTCATGATGCCCAACAATGTAGCATTGGGAAAAGCTGCAAGTGACCTGTTCATATACTCAGGCATATGCTGGCAAATATCTTAAATATCTATCCACAAAATTTAGAATATTTAGAGGGCAAGCCACTTCGACCATGCCCAACAGAGCCACCCAGGCTGATTGGGATACAGCATCTTGGCAGAGAGTGTTACATACTCAATAGAATAATTTCCACACACCAGAATCAGATATCTTTTGCAAGCAATGGCGAAGACTTCATAAAAAACAACAACCATAGTTTGTTTTAAAAAATAACTTTTAACATGAGACAATCAGTTTTGGCAACAAGTCTCTTGCATAGAGAGTAAATTCGGAAGACCAGCTTAAATAGTTTGAAACATGCCACACAAGAAAGCTTCGAACAAAGGAAACAGATCTTTACACAGTATAACACGGGTAGCTCGAATTCGTTGGGCCCGGCCTCGGATATCTTACAAAGATAAAGAAGGGAAAAAAAAATTTGGCGGATATGTCATATTTGAGTCTTCTGTGTTCGACCTATATCCGTGTTATACTGTGACTCAAAATGACGAAAAAATTTCAATGCTAAGAAAAACATTCTTAAAATGGAGATCACATTGTGTATCAGTGTGGAATTTTCCTTCAAACGTTAGTCATAATACAAACCCTCTCAAAGAAGCCGTGCTTGAGGTGATCGAGGTGGAAGACTGGCTCTGTAAGAGGACAAAAAAAGAAATATGGTACAGCTGTGCTACGAGTATGGGTTAAAGTAAAGCCCCTAATTTCAAATTACAACAAGAAGCAACAGGCTGCAATGGTCGTGGTGATGCACAAAGATATGTTGTGGGGTGGGAGGCTGGCTGGGTTATATTTTACCTTTACAGAGAAAGAAATTCATTCGTACCAACTTTACAGAGATAGAAATTCATTCATACCGACTTTACAGAGATAGAAATTCATTCGTACCAACTTTACAGAGATAGAAATTCATTCGTACCAACTTTACAGAGATAGAAATTCATTCGTACCAACTTTACAGAGATAGAAATCCATTCGTACCAACTTTACAGAGATAAAAATTCACTTGTACCAACTTTACAGAGATAGAAATGAGCTTTCAGCAAACAAGGTTGACAGGGCCATTTTGAGGACTCACATAAATACCAAGTTAGTTATAATCTACTTCAGCCGCAAGAGGCTGAATCATTTTAGAAATCCCCAAATAATTGTATTTAAAGCTTAAGAAACTATACAAATATAATATGAAAATGAACTAAGGAAATGTTTTCTTTTTGTAAGATATTAGGTTCCAAACCTATTTCCTTATGAACGCCCCTCTCCAATAGACTTTTTTTCTTCAACTCTAGAGCACCAGTGGCTGAAGAGCGACACTGGTAGGCTCTATACCTTTACTCCCTCCCTGTTGTTTCTGTCTATAAATCTTGCTTTTTCACAGCACTAAGTGAATATTTCAAGTCGATCTGCTTTTCCTAACTGAAACAAATAAAACTTTTGTGCATTGATTGTTCAGCTGAACAGGGGCACATACTCTTCAGCTAGCATTGTAGTTCTTCATCAGCCTCCTGGTAAAACAACCTATCGCAAGCCAGCTGTTCAGATGTGTTAAGCCCCAAATTTCGAATTTTTAAAATTTCAGTTTCTTAATCTGTTGTATCAGTTGCATGTGTTCTAGAAAGACTAAGTAGAAATTCAAATTCTAAATGTAGAAAAAAAAAAAGCAAAAATGAAGCAGTTTTTTCTCCTGGGCATGGAGCAGCTGAACAGCTTACCAGCCATATAGACCTAGAACCGGAGGTATCATCATCATGGAGAAACATACCTTCCTCTTTATCAGTAATTTCTGTTCCTTTGTCCACATCCTCCTCCCTGCTATCACTATCAGCCACCTGCATATCCTCAATGGTCTTGTTGCAATTATCCAGGCGGGCTGAGGTTCCAACATCGCTGACATCATCTCCAGGTACCACCCCCATCTTGGACCCACCAGCATCTGATACTTCAGGTTGAACTTCACTCTGAAATATTTGAGGGGCATTCATCATATATCTTTTTGTTCTTGTTAGAAAGTAGAGGTTACTTCAAAAATCATTCTCTTATTTCCACAGCAAACTTGTAACATTTTCAAGGATCAGAGCTAGAAGAAACCATGTATCTGTTTTGGACAAAATGAGAAAAACAGCATTCAAATAACATTGCCTTACACCTGTAAATCAAACCAATCTGTACAACCATTCAGTCACAATCCCAATTACCATAAAAACATCTTAGTCCAAGCATTTCCGATGAACAACTTATCCAAAAAATTCATTTTTCTCACTGGTCACCTCTACTTCTGAGCCAGTGACTAGTCCAAGCATAGGCAAACTAACCTCGAGTTTGGGCCAGAGTGACGGTAGTTGTTTGATCACAATCAGGATTATGTTCTCTTTGGTCAGCTGCACTCGACTTTTCTCTTTCTCAATGGCTCCGTAGAACTGGATAGAATGGCTTATATCATCTGAGGATCATTAAGGAATATTTCAATTTTAATTTTTTAAAACACAATAGACTTAAAAAAACAATCAAAACTTTATGCAGAATAACTGGCAAATAAAAAAGGAGAGACAAACAAAACACCTCCAAAGCAGTACACAAATTCTTAACCATGATATTGCTTGCAGATGGTACATTAACCTATGAGCAGGGTTACCCAAGCTATTCTAGAGCTGTGATGAGTTGAGAAGCTTACTCTCATTTAAACATTATGTATCTATATACAAATAAAAAAGAAAACACAATCAAATTTACAAAAATTAAGAGAGAAATCACTCACTTGAAATACCAATGTGCACTTCATTGCATGTAAATGTAATGTCAAAAGCTCCGTTGTGCTCTCCACGAAGACCTTTTAACTTGACTGTCACTGTAACGTCTGACTGTGTCTGCTTCCATGTGTATGTAAGACTCACTGGCTCATCTGTATAAAATGAATGCATTGTTGAACAACACATTATGACATCATAAATACATTGATTGTGATCCAAAATATAACAAAACACAGCTCACTTAACAAAGAATATTCTTCTTTCGTCTAGTGCACATGGCTGAAGGTACTTTTGAAACCTAAAAAATCAAGGCAAAGTCAGTCAGTGTCAGTGTACTTTCAACAACATTAAAAAAGTTAAGAATATTAATTTTATCAAACCAATACCATTTCTTTTTTTATACTTAGAAGACATTCCAGCAACAGGGCAGGCCATCTTGGACTTTTCCATAGCCATCGATAATACTTTCACACCTTCCTACAAAATAAAATTTATAACGTGTATACAGTTGATAATTGAGTCACTGTGGATTTTCAAGTTCTTAAATTTAAGTCAGTAACTCACGGACAAAGCAAGCCAGACAAGGCGTGGCATGACATTTCATAAGAATTTATTTGAAACTTTCCCCAGCCCTCAAGAGAGAGTGTTAGCAGTTAGGTAAGGGGTAAAGTGAACACGATGGGAGAGTGTCCCGTTACAAAAGTTGTACTGACAGTACTATGTGGCATAGATTCCTGACTGAGAATGCCAAGAGAGTTCATGAGCAACAATATTCTGCATTCTTCGATGTCTGCGCCAAGAGTAGGCTTCTGAAATATATCGATACGGACGTAATTTTATTGAAACGGGAGCAAGAGATGCCTGTGCTGTTATTTTTCAGTACAAAATGTGTGCGGTAAATATTTCACTTGTCTTTAACCTGGGGGGTTTCAGTGGGGCCCCCCCCCCACCCCTGAATTTTTAAACCATAATATAAAATTTGATGTTTTGCAAGTGATTAGGTTTGATTGAATCTCTTCTGAATATTGGCACGCGCATCGAAAAGTAACAGTTTAGAACCAGAAGTAATCATTGGTGGAGCCCAGATCCACACTCCATTGTTATTGTGGGGGCAAAAGCCGGATGGTACCCCAATCAACCCAACCCTTGGCCTTGATGACCCCAAACTGAAGAATGATCGATCATACAGTTGAGTTTCATTTTCAAGGCTTATTACTTATAATAAGGTAAGAGTGATCAGCAGAGATAATGGTGTGCCCATCCATTGACATCATCATCATTGACTCATTGTAGTTGAAGAAATGCTGTTTACTCAAATTTACTGTATTGTAGGCAACAAAAACACCTTTTTTGTCTTTGTTGTCTTGTCTTTGTCTCCAGTTTTACAGTCAGTGCAGTAGTAACTTTACATGATATAGATACACACAGTCACAAGACTGAAAACCAAACCTTTTCCTTCCATTTTCCTATACTGCTTTGCTGAAGTGCATGAACTGGTGTAGCCTGGGTCCCATTCTTGTAAAGTTTCTTTGTTCTGAAAGCCACCTGAGCCTGAAGCCAGTGAATGTGGCAGACTGCGATCCTCTTCGAGCCCCAATGATGAGCCTGATTGCGAAGAACCATTCGACTCTAGACCTAGTTCTGCCATCACATCAGGATTATTTGGCTTCAGAGGAGGGCACACACAGAGGGTGTGCTTTCTTTTTCTTTGAGTCTGATCTATGTTTGTGAGGTAATTCGACAAAACTGTTTTATAATCTCAAAACAGGCGACAGGGTACCCTTCTTTTTCACATCAGTCCAGTCGCTGCTTGCACTTTGCTGTTATTTCCGTTGTCCGTCCGTTCTCTCTAACTACCCAGATTTTTGCAACCGATCGGCTCATGTTTATTTGTGTGCGAAATCTGGAGCAAAAAGAGGAACAGATCTAGGCATAGAAACGAAAGCTGGTGACTTTTTGGTTTGCACTAACTTGTGTAAAATCTAAAAAACAAAACAAATATTGGCTTTCTGATCAAAAGACATGATCTTTGGATGAAACAAAACCAGTCTTTCTCTCCTGGGGAGAGTTCAATATTCTCTAAGTTGAGCCAAGCCAGCTAAGCTACGGTAATGGACAGCAGAATCGAGTCCTAGCAGAATATAGGCACTACAGTAAACATTTTTTTTGCGTATATCGCTTGTGCAAAACACACTTTGTGAGACTACATAACAAAAGATACTCTACCGAACAAGGAGAATGAATAAAATATTAGGAGCTGAAACATGCCTATCATAAATATTTGGTAAGCTTACTTCAATATTTCAGAGTGTTTCATTTACAATGTAGGCCCTACAAATGTATTTTTGCTGGACAATACATACATCGACATAATATTATTATATTGTGTAACTGAAATTTGTAAAAAGAAGCGAAGACGAGGCAACTGTAATGAAGAGTCTTCGCTTGAACTAACAGGGAAGTACTCAAAAAGTACAAGTGCATGGGAAAAGGGGATGGGCGGCGGGCGCTGCTGGCTGAATTCGACCAGTAGTCCCACAGAGAAGACCGGGATTCCCCGATCTGACATGGCCCGATGTATATTAGGCCTACAGAGGTCATCTACAGATGAGACAAAAAGACGGGCAGGAAAACTGAGTTTGCAACTTTCTAGTTAACTTGATTCTCAAGATAATGTGTTAAATTTTTGTTTATAAATCCTGACAGTTTTGCATTTTTAAAATCTCATGTTAAATTTCATCATTAGGCTGCATAATAATGTTCTTTCAATCTGACAGAAGAACCAGCCAAATGCATCTAAGTCCACCTTTATCTGGGAAGAGGGGTAGGTTTTGACAACAATGGAAACGGATAAATTCAGTAGGCTACGTTTACCTTTCATAGAGAATATTATAACGGATTGACTAATCACTAAATTGATTAATCTAAAAATTATTTTATTTATTAGTTCGGTAATTGATTAATCATCTGTAATTACAACTGAGAACGAAATCTGGTTTAATTCTATTGTATCCGGATAAAGATTTGAGAGAGAAATAAGGAATTATAATATACACACACACACATGAGAGAGAGAGAGAGAGAGAGAGAGAGAGAGAGAGAGAGAGAGAGAGAGAGAGAGAGAGTACCGTACAATCTCTGAAAGAGAAACAAACAAACAAAAAAAGAAAAGAAAAGAAAGACACCACATCGATGCTGATCGACTTAGATTACATGTGGGTCACCTTAAAGTTATTTAGATAAGTAGGCAGAGCGAACACGGTATGCCTAAACAATAAATTGAGACTTGAGAAGTAACACCCACTTCGTTTTGAGGGGAAAAGAGGTGGGTTTTTAGTTGTCTTCTTTTAATTTGTCTTATCTTTCCTTTCGTTTGCCAGCCAAGTTTGGTCCCGTAACTGTTTTATTCGGCCACTCATCAATAATTTGTCAAGGAAATAGTTACGCATATATAAGATAAGTATTTTTTCTATGCTGACTTTAGCCTACCTAAATTAAATGGTTCAATACCATAGGCCTACTTACGTACTCAGATGAACTTGTCCATACTTCTGAAACTTGTAGGGCCTATTTTAGCGAACTACTAGACCAAAAAATAACAAACAAATTGATCGTGATAAAACAATCTGGCAGGCATGAGTGAGGTTGACAACGATCTCGATCACAAAATTGGCGATCCAGAATAGGAACTTTCAAGAAAAGTTTAAAAAATCAAGGCCTTTATTTCTATTCCAATTAATATTGTCGGCTGAGGTAACTCACCTGATCTGAGACGTCAATCCACTTTAAGTATTGATGTTATTATTTGTTAGTAATTATATCTCAGTTTTCTCAAGACTGACTTGTTCATTGTAACTCGATGATCTTTGTTAGCAAAAATATCTCTGGATAAAGTGACAACAATCCAAAACTGTTCAAAACCACTTTTACACAGATAAAAGAAAGCGAGACGGTACTGCGGGCACCTCTTAATTTATATACGGACTCCTGACTTCCTGTTAAGAAAAATAATGTACAAATTGGCTACTCTTTGTTTCAAATGCTTAATTAAATGATGGTAATGCTGCTAATGCATCATCATATTATTCAGATCGGTTGAAACTGCACATTCCGACTCGAAGCTTAAGGTCATTGACTGACATATAAAGAAATTACTGTTACCATCTATGGAACTTAAAACAATGGGCAGCAGGGCATATTATGCCTAATAATATCATGGACCCAAGAACTGGAATGCTTTATCAAGTAGCTTAAGAGATCATGTCTTTTTATTCTTTCAAATATCAGCGTAAGTCATTTATTTGTTTATTTATTTATTTATTTATTTATTTATTATTTTTTATTAATT